GAAGAGAAGAGAAGAGAAGAGAAGAGAAGAGAAGAGAAGAGAAGAGAAGACAAGACAAGACAAGACAAGAGAAGTGAAGAGAAGCGAAGACAGAAGAAATGAGGAAAGTTAGAATGGACCCTCTATTTTCATGAGCCTAAGCGGATCACCAATCTTGCGACAAATTTTCGAGAAGAACTATGAGAGTCTTTGCTGCTACTGCAACTGTCTGCGGCACCTGACTCATTTGCTTTACGGCCTGGAGAATTGTGACTTTTCCGCCTGCCATCGGGTTGGTAAAGCCCGACTAATCTTCATCTGCCCTCTTTTCATGGGACACACACGTGTGCCCATAATTGCCGTTGTTTGTCTGGCCGGTTGTCGTCTCTTTTAGAGGGCAGCTGAAAACGCCTTTCAAGATCGTCTTCAGGCCAGAAACGTCGACTGAATCTTTGGGCACTATCGCGGCGCCTGACCGATAGTTGCAAAGGTCAGTGAACGAATAAATAATACTGTAGGCCGCTTCGTCTGCGTCCCTCCAGCACCAGGTGGTATCGGCCCATTCCAGCCAAGCAAGGGTTGCTGTTTTTTTGCAACACTCCATAACTGATGTCGGACACGCATAGTCTTTTGCGAGGCCTTGGGCCGATTCCCTCGGCCACTGGAGGGCGAGCGCAGTATGTTTTTGGCAGCTCTTCAACTCTTCAAACACTAGCGATTTGGATTTATGAGGAGCACCTGACATTGGGCCCTACAGCAAGCCTTAGAGTTGTCTGCTGTCCTGGACAACTTCTGGATTGCCTCGTCCGAGCAACTGGTTAACCCGAACTCTACAGATTTGGCCCGCCATCACAACTACAAGTTGCCATTACGTCAGGAAGGAATAGCCCCTCTCAGCTGTGCAACTTCAATGGGTTCGTCCAAGATGAATGCCCGATCATGAAAGTTGTGCAAACAGGCGATGCATCAAGTTTGAATCGAGCAATGGAAAAACTCAACATTTGGCTATACGAAAAAAAGCTGAATTGTATTTTGGTAACCTGGCTTTCAATCGTACAGGCTAACATCGCATCAACTCAACTGGAGTTATTTACAAGCTAACGCAATCTCGGTCGGGCTTTTATCTTGGGCCATTAAGCCTTGTAGGACCAGGGCTGACATAAGGCTCTTTCCTACTTATATGAGGTGAATTCAGCCTATTTATTTTCAGGTGATAAAAGGATGGTTTATGAAGTGAAGAGAAGAGAAGAGAAGAGAAGAGAAGAGAAGAGAAGAGAAGAGAAGAGAAGAGAAGAGAAGAGAAG